GTCGGAGGGCAATATGAATTTTTGGTATTCGGACAATGAATTTCAGTAACAGATTTCAGAGTGGCATTATAAGGAATTTGATATGGTTGAGGTACCAAGTTTTGTATCATTTCTTGTTATTGGTCACGTCCATCATAGAGTGACTGTTTGGTAATTAATATGTTTGTATTTTAACAACTGAATTCAATATTACAATCGGAGTTCTTATTATATTATGAAAATTATAGAAGCCCTAATGTAATAAATACAAGCGTATTACGTTCGTCTGTTACAGGAAGTTCATTACAGCCCATGAGAGTACATGCAGCCACACCATGGTCACCACACATACAGGAATTACAATCCATCTTAAAGTTTTCACCAGATGCATACCATTTACCATCCTGAAGACATCCTGTCACTGGTGGAGACACTGTAGATAAATTAAACATGGAATGGAAATTATATGACCTTCTCCGGTGTTTCAACGTATTTCCGGTAAATTCTGATTCTGAAATCCAGATACAACATTAGTGTTTCCCTACGTGAAAGTATGCTGAAGATCCGTGAAGTTAAAGGGTTCCCCGATTATGAAATCCTTGTCGAGGCATTCAAGGAAGTCTACACCTTGATATAACCCTCGTCCGTATCATAATGCCATTGGTAATGATAAGCTAAGAAACCGTGGTTATGCCATGATGAGGAATCTATTCCGCCAAAGTTAATTTTGCCGCGAGGAGCAAAACTTTGAGCTTAAACCTTTGAGGAATTTGGGATTTTGCGTTACTAAATCATTTTTGAATTTTCTAAAAATATAATATAACTTACTTGCAGAACCAGTTCCAATAAAACAAGCGACAATAACCAGTACTAAAACCACCATTTTAAACTTGTATGTTTACGTATCGATTGAGAGTTTACATGATGACCATTTCAAACTAAACCTTTATATACCTGTATGGTGGATATTAATACAATCTCCATCGGTTTATAAACATCTAAATTGTTCATTAATCATCGGATAAACGTTGTAACGGGTATATTAAATCCACGTGTTTCCCATTTTTAAACAAGGTGTGTTATCTCCCTTGATAATATCACAGGTAAATTACATTGATCTGATATAAATTAAAATGTTTCCGCTGTTTGTAAATAATCTGTGTGATTTCAGCCGGTAATGTCGGCGCTTTATTTAAATGTTATGAATTGAAATTACCTGATAATTTTCAGGATAGCAACATATGCCCTTCTGTATTTTGTTCTATTGTCTTTTGGGAGAGAAGCGGTTATAACAGTGTCGCCAGAATCCTCGATCCGTAGCGAAACAACTCTTTTCGCGCAAAAATGCTTATAGCCCCGTAACCGTAATGAGTTGAGGAAAGCCAGGCCAGATGATTTGAACATGCCTTGTTTTCCGTCAGAGTTGGGCGGTGAAGTCATCGGTTCCAGTTCTAAATCGATAAGGAAGGGCGCAACAGGTGGGTATTGGGCTGGGCTTAGTCGAGATAGGCAAATGGACCGTTTTTTATCGAGAAAATGGACCGGTTTGCCGGAGTCTCTTACACATTCAATCAAACCAAAAGTTCGTATTGTCAAGTATTGGGTGAAATGACTCAGTGCTTTTGAGGAAACTCCTGCGCACCGCAGCTACATTTTTTTTTTTTTTTTAAACAATATTTTATTCAGAAGTTGAAAGGGATTGAGGAACAGACATAGCCTATATGACCTCTCTCCTATACCTAGATACATTTGCTCAGTACATATAAGTAGAAAGTGAACAACTTACATTCATAGGCGTAGGGGCTCGATGACAGTTAGGGGGGCAGAACCCGAAATGCCCGAAAAAATTTCGGGTTTACAGACAGCAGCGACGTTGTATACCCCCCCCCTCCCCCAAAGACAATTTTGGAATATTTGACGGCTGCAAACACGTATTCCTGCTATTGCAGCAGTTGAACAAAGCAACTTCAAAGTGGTCTAATATAGCCTAATTAAGGTGGCTGACTCGGAATTCCAATCAATCGTTTACAGTCCTCGAAGACGGGACCGTTAGGAGTAAATTTTGAAAATTTAACTGCCGCAAACGCGTTTTCCCGATATTTCAGCCAGTGAACAAAGCAACTTCAAGCTGTCTAATATAGCCTAATTAAGGTGGCTGACTCGAATTCCAATCAATCGTTTACAGTCCTCGAAGACGGGACCGTTAGGAGAAAATTTTGAAAATTTAACTGTCGCAAACGCGTTTTCCTGCTATTTCAGCCGGTGAACAAGGAACTTCAAAGTGGTCGAATATATATTATAGCCTTATTAAGGTGGCTGACTCGAATTCCAATCAATCGTTTACAGTCAACGGAGACGGGACCGTTGGGAGAAAATTTTGAAAATGTAACTGCCGCAAACGCGTTTTCCTGTTATTCCAGTCTGTGAATACAGTAACTTCAATTTGGTCCAATATAGCCTACCTGGCTGACCCGAATTCCAAACAACCAATCAATCGTCGCGCGGTATATGGAGGCTTCACCCTCCCGGAGAAAAATTTGAAAATTTAATCACCGTAAATGCGTTTTCTGCTATTCTAGCCCGTGTAAGCAACTCCAAAAGTATCCAATGGTTTTGTAACTGAAATCCCACTCTGAATTCTAACCATCCAATCAGACTGTTGCATCTGCATTCACAAATAATAATCGATGCCTGAAAAATGTTGCACAAAGTAGAGTGGCTCCAGACAAAATGTTTTAATCCATAGTCAACTCAGTACAAATTCGTGATATTCAATTACAAGAAAAGTAAAATTAGTGTTTTATTAGGGCTCGGTGACAGTTAGGGAAGCAAAACTAGAAATGCCCGAAAAATTTCGGATTTATAGACAGCGAATGACCCGCCAAGAAAATTTTGGAATATTTGACGGTCGCAAACGCGTTTTACTGCTAGTTTCCTTTGCCGCTTTCCGGCCCGATGCCCGTTTTTCGGGCAATACCTATTTTCGGGCAATACCGTTTTTTCGGGCATACCTATCATAAGAGAGCTTCGGGCATATTTTCGGGCATGCAGTGGACAAGAAAAAGACGAGAAAATACTTTTCGGGCAGTGTGGATCTCATAGAAATAAGTTAGTTATATTTTTTCTCTAAACGTTAATAGAAAAAAAAGGTCGTCGAATTTTTCATTGCCCGAAAATAAATTTTTGGGGGGACAAATGCCCCCCCCCCCTGCCCCCCCGGCTCCTACGCCTATGCTTACATTACATGTATATGATGATGATCACTGTCTGTCTTTTTGTACTTTACTTTGAAAAATACGATTTTTGCGATTATTTTGGCGAATTTTTCCTTATTGTTGAGTTGAATTTCGCTTCAAGACGGGGCGGCATTTTATTGATATTTCAGGCCGATTTGATTTACTAATGCTGAGTGGGCCGAGTTTTTGAAAATAAGTTTGTGCACCCCTGATGTCAACAGACATGAATTAGGAAAATCGCGTCAGAGCCTATACCTTTGACCGAGCGTAGCAAAATATGTCACAGATGATTGTGACATTTTGGGGTCTATGTGGTTGAAGAGATTAGGATCATCTAAATATTTTTAAAACAATGATATAGGCTAAGAAATGGAATAGATTTGACATTGAAGTGAACGTGGAGAAGATTACTATCCCGAGACCACAAGGATGCAGACCACCATTAAATTTCCCCATCTAGATACATGTAGTTTTTCTCTCCCCTTTTTCTGCTTTTGCATGGCCATTTTTGTTGCTTTTTGGTTTAGGATGGAAGAAGAGGATTTGAATAACATTTTCTGCCAGGTTTTGGTAATTATTGATGATTTAGAGGCAAAGGGGTAACAGAGTTAAGAGGTTGGTTATGGTGATATGTATTGCTGATAGTTACATATTTTTAGTATTTGTGTATTTCAAAATTTCATTAGTCGATCTCATACGAAATCTGAAACAAAGATATGACCATTTGGGCGTTCAGCCCAACGAAATTTAGTGAAAAGTTGGAGCCATTGAAGTCAATGGTGGTCTGCATCCACATTAGTTAAACGTAGTTGTCTCCCTTCAACTCTGATTTCAAATTAATTTTCACAGCCTTTATAACCAAATCACATGCAATTTGGTTAAAACCGTTTTGGAAAGATTATTTTCTATTTCGAGGGTACACCACTATTACTCTAAAAATTCAGAATATCAGCCACAATAATGAACCAAATGTGCTAATATAATTCATCATTAGGCCATATTCACACATTCATAGAAGGTAAAATTTATATGTCATATAGCCTAAATGGCTGTAACAAATAAAATCTGCTCAGGTGTTTAAATGTAGTAAATACAGTGCCAGATATAGATTAAACATACATTATACAAGAGCTAAATCTGTCTATTGCGGGTCTTTCTTTAGGCCTGAAATGTTATCTAAATTATTAATTAGACATTAATTAACTTATCCAGACCATAATCAACTCTAGATGGCATCGCTAGCCTGCGATCTTAAGTGGATTGTGATCCGATTTACTGCATAACTTTCCTTCTCGATTAAACAATTAAATGGATAATCGAGACTATGCTGTTTAACATACTGACTTTAGTAATGATGACCGAGGCTAGGCAGAAATTTCATTCGCTTAGTTCTTGGTTTATAGTGGATCAATTTGAATGAAATTTTCAGCAAATTGCCTTTACGTTATCTAGTTTTTAATTATTATAGTGAGAACTGCCAACTCGTTATCCAATCTCCCATAATGTATCTTTAAGTGGTCACAAATAAATTGCCCACAAAAAGAGAAGGTGGGAGGTGACAAGCACCCGTATGGTGCTCAATTCACAGGGTAAAAGAAAATACCCCTAAAATATGTCCATTATTAGATGGGCAAATGTCTTTCCAGGGGAGTAAAGTCTAAGAAAAAAAACATTTTAATGGTGGCCGCCTTTAAAAATGGATCACCCCTGACCAAAGATTTCTGGATCTGAGCATTCAATATTTGGTTTGGGACTTAATCCCAGATGAAAAAACCAACACTGAAGGATATTTGAAATAAAATATATTTCAACAATAAGTATTTTATCAACACATCATAATTCATTTAATACCAGAAAAATTAAAACCATGAAACTGTCTTTCAGTTCCAACATCAAATCACTGATGGACATTTTGAAATAAGAAATTACATAATAATACAGGGTATATTCCAGAAATTTAGAAAACATAGTTCCATTGTATGAGGGAACTAGTAACATTATTTCTGTAACACTAGGTTAAATATATTGAAACTAGTACTAATACGTATTTAAACCTAGTTTATGAAATATATTTGAATAAGTATTTAAAAGTATTTAAACCCACCTGTTATTTTGTGAATTATATCTGAATTAGTATTTAACCCTATTTTGTGAAATGCACTGACTGGGCTAATGAAGGTGGACAAATGGCATACAGTACGCTATGAGGGAAAGTTTTGCCAGTTTTGCGTAAAATATTCAGTAGACTTGGCGCCGGGGTATTTAGGGACTATTTTCAAACAAATTGGCATCATGCTTGGTTCCTTGTCAATATTTAGTACTATCGTGGTTGTTACATTTAAACTTCTTGCAATATGTTTAAAATATATTTGAATAAGTGGAACTAGAGTAGTTTTTATTAGAGATGTCAGAGAAAATATTTACCAGCATATTACTAATTTATTATATATTATATTATATATTATATTATATACATATGACATTTGTGAATATATTATGATATAATGTATATTTATTACAACAATAAATATATTAAAATAATTTAAATGTCTCTGTTTTAAAATTTACCCAACAATTATATATAGATGTAAATTACCAGTATATACAATATGTACAATATTTGTTAATAACAATTTATAACATTTAATATATTGCAGAATACTATTATTATTTCAATTTTTTTTAGCAGATAACATTTGGTTATTTTGACAACATTATTTACATTTTCTTTCGAAAATACTGTTTATAAATTTAATAAATTGAAAGTAGAGTAGATATCTATGATATTTTTAACAAACTGAACAAAAAGTAATAAATATTTTTGATATTGAACAAAAACTATTAAATATTTTTCATACTGAACAAAAACTATTAAATATTTTTGATATTGAACAAAAACTATTAAATATTTTTGATACTATTAAATAATTTCTTTAAATACCATTTTAGTTCATGTGCACTATTTTTACAAATTTGTTAATAAATTGATATCCCTGTGAAAATATTTTAGCCAACAGATTAATACAACTTAAAGATTCTATTGTAATTATAATATGTCCCTTTGTTATTCAATATTTCATATTCCTCTTAGGAAATATTTGTAACAGTTTAACATCCAAATAATAATTTAAAAAGAACAATTGATTAGATCTTGATCTATATAACCCTAACCCCCATCTAATGAAGTTTTTAATCATACATCAAGGATATAAGACAACAACACTTGATATAATCCAAGAATTCCTACTTTTTATACAGCCTCTGGGCCATTACACTAATTTATTATCTACCTGTAACCAGTTACCTGTCGGAGGGGGTGATATTCTTTACTGTACATACTGAGTGCTAGTATAAAATGGATTATATCTTCCTGATAAACAAATATTTAGTCCAACCATTTCTAATAAACATTATCATTTCTCTTAGTGATTTGTAAACATTGTAATAAAATTTATACCCTTCTCTCCATTTCCCTTAGGGCAGTGATTCTCAACCTGTGTGCCGCGGAACACAGGTGTGCCACGAGATCTTCCTAAATTTTGAAACCATTTGATCCCAATTGAGTATTCACTGGTGTCTACTGGTAACTTCATAGCTGTGGGTTTTTTTATGAGTCATTCTATGTGTCTATGGCTAGTCTGTGTCTACGGTTGTATGTCGTGTGACTTACCATGTTTTTATTTGCAAAAAAAATTCAAATATTTTTCATATATATTTTTACCCAGGTGTGAGGCTATTTTTTCATCTGTTCCAAGGTGTGCCGTTGGCAAAAAAAGGTTGAGAACCACTGCCTTATGGCGATGGATTTATTATCAATGTACATAATATAGGTTTTGTTCATAAAGTGGCAAGACAAATTATAAAAGCAAAGTATTCATTCCATAACACCTAATGTTGACTACTTTTATAGGTATCTACAGATCTATGATTTAAAAAAAAATAATTCATTCATTAAATCTAACTAAAATATATCTTTTAAACAGAACTAGTTTTATTTACGGAAATCAACAGTTATAATTGGAATTGATTTTAGGTTCCATTTTGTACCCCACTAATTGGTGGAGTTAATAATCTTTATACTCCTGAAGAGCATCTTTTAGGTTCTATTTTGTACACCATTAATTGGTGGGGTTAATAAATCTTTATACCAATGAAGAGCATCTTTTAGGTTCCATTTTGTACCCCACTAATTGGTGGAGTTAATAATCTTTATACTCATAAAGAGCATCTTTTAGGTTCCATTTTGTACCCCACTAATTGGTGGAGTTAATAAATCTTTATACTCATGAAGAGCATCTTTTAATGCTTTACAAACGTGTGGTGAAGCTGATGTGGTACATTCTACTAAATATGGGTAGAGATTTATGACTTGTTTCCAGACACCTGCTTCCACTGAAAATATAGAACAAAACTAACATGTACTGGTAGTTATAAATGTAGAACAGAATATTAATACTGGATTAGTATTACAGAATAAACATCAATTTAATGCAGAGAGAGAAATGGGGTTTAACATCCACTCGACACAATTAGGTCATTTCGGGACTAACATATGGTTTAATTTTATTTCAATAATTCACTTGCGCATTGGGGTCTTTAGCAGTGGGAGGAAACCGGAGGACCCGGAGAAAACCCACGAGGTTGGACAGGCGACCCTACCCCTTGTCATGTACAACCGGGGATTCGAAACCACGCCAGTCGACTCAATGACAGACTTTATGATACAGCGCGCGCAAGCTAACCATTCAGTCATCCACCCCACAAATTAATGCAGACCTAGACAAGAAATGAAATGAAATAGGGTTTAACGTCCTAATGTTCTACACCGACTGGGCTAATGAAGATTGGCATATGCCATACAGTGTGCTGTGAGGTAAATTTTGACCAGACAGTGGCGCTACGGCCTACTCTTAAATTGAATTCCAACTGTACACAGGACCTTGGTTTTTAGTCCCATCTGAACGACTAGACAGCTGTCCTTGTCAACCCCTCCATCCTGAATGGACTTAGTATTATGGAATAAACATCAGATTAATGTAGACTTTTGAACTGGAATGGACTTAGTATTACAGAATAAACATCAGATTAATGTTGACTTTTGGGACGGAATGGAGTTTAACATCTCGTCAACCCAATACTTCAGTCATTTTGATACTAACATTATAATTTCAATGTCAATGGTGAAATGAACAATGGAAGAAATGAAATGAAATGAAATGGGGTTAAACTTCCTATTGTTCTGCTCCTAACCTGGGCTAATGAAGACGGGCATACGCCATACAGTGTGCTATGAGGGAAATTTTGCCCGGGCAGCGGCGCTACGGCCTACTCTTATATCGAATTCCAACTGCCAAGGGATCTTTTACGTGCACGCCAATGTGTACACTGGACCTCCGTTTTTCGTCCCATCCGATCGACTAGACAGCTGTCCTTGCCAGGCCAACAATGGAAGAGGGGAAATCTTGCCCAAATGCAGTAGCATTTCTGACTACTTTCTTCAAATTCTAACTGCCAAGTTTTTTGATACCATCCGAACAACTAGACAACCCTTTCCATGTCAGCAATCCTGAAGGTTATTCACGGCTGGGATATTCTGCCCAACCACGGCATAGATTTGTTGCAAAAATAGATAAAATATTTGTTCCATGGTATTTTCTCAAATTGGGACCATCTCATCAAGTCCCTTTTCCTAACCATCTCATCAAGTCCCTTTCCCTAACCGCAAAAATTCCATACTGCATCCCTGCTACCCTCCTAACGTCAAACATAAAATATAATTTACCGTTACTTTTAGGTGCCCGTTTTAAAGATCCTAATAAAGTTGAGATTGCTTTTAATACAGATGACATCTCTGCCATTCTTGGTCTGTAAAATAGAATCATAAATGCCATAATTTAATTCTATCAGATTCCTGTAGTTGAATTCAAATGAAGAGCCCCGGGGAAGAACGATCTAAGTCACTTTTTCAATGAACCCCAGTTAATGGCGCCATCTGGTAGCAAATTGTATAAGCTTTCTGTGGAACAATCTATTTCAGGTAAAAACGACAGGAGTCACATCGAACCAAGGCCCTTCTGAAATGACCTCCCGGACAAATACAAGTCCATCTTACCTTTTATTTAACCTTTATTTGCCCGAAAAGTTGAAGTCAGTTGTACTGGTAATTATAATTCATATTAAACATCGTTTTGAAGTTGTAATTAAACCCACTCGTTGTTCTGTTTGTGTCAAAAATTCTCGTCCAAAAGTCTGTTTTGCCTTTTACGCAAAAAGACAAAAATGTGACCTAGATCGTTCTTCCCCTTGACTCTTCAAATATATCCTTAGAATAGAATTCTTTACATTTTATATCTGGCCAATTTGGGAAAGTATTATTCAAATATAAAGCATAAACTTCAATTTTATGTCAATTTTTGCGACAAGATAAATGTCGCCCTTGTAAAAATAAGTTCATTAAGCATCTTTTACCTTGGTAATGGACATTTTCCACTCAATCGTTCATCATCAACATATTTTTTTACAACTTCCTGACATCTTTGTAACAAAGATAGAACAGCAATCTTTGTTATACAACCTTCTTCTTCTTGCTGTTTTTGGTTAATAAACGAAAATTGAAGTAAAGTTTCAAAACATGTCTTGGCAAACTCTTCACGCAATTTGCGACTTGATTCAGTGTCTGGAAAATAAGAATGTGTTGGATGAGACAAGGGTTTCTTTACTCTTTCATGAACACTCCATACCACTTCTCTCATTTGAGAAATGGGCATGAGAGAAACAGGGTTATATGCCCACTCAACACAAACAAGATTAGGAGTCTTTACCAGTGGGAGGAAATGGAAGAGAGAGATAGAGAAACAGCGTTTAATGTGCACTTGACACAAACCAGGGTCCTGTTTCACGAAATTTTAACTAAAGATAAAATCCAAATTTTAGTAGATACTTCAATTTTGATTGGCTAAGCACTACAATCAGTCTAATATTATCCAATCAAATGACTAAAATTTGGATTTTATCTTAGTTAAAATTTCGTGAAACAGGCCCCAGGTCATATAAGGACTAATGGTTCAATTTTATTTCAATCAATTGCTTGCGTGTAGGGGTCTTTAGCAGTGGAAGGAAACCGGAGGACCCGAAGAAATCCCACGAGGCTGAATAGGTCACCCTACTCCATGTCCTGTACAAGTGGGGAATCGAAACCACACCACTTGACTCAATGACAGACCTTATGATGCAACACACACGCGTTAACCATTCAGCCACCCCCCAGAAGATCCAAGAGAAAAACCCACGAGGTTAGGCAGTCAACCCTACTCCTTGTTACATTTACGGTACATACAAGCATGGGGTCGAATCCACGACCAGGGATCCATAGCACAGCATCAGACCACTCAGCCATCTAATCTCATCAAGTATTTAATGTAAAACTTTCTAAAACAATCTATCAGAAATTATTTCCTATTTTCCCTTGCTTGTTATAAACAAAATATGAAATTTCCCATTTCGAAAAAATATGTCATTTCCTTAAAAAATCAAACTCTCATTAATTTAAAACACTATATCCCTGGAGTGACAAAATAACAAGTCATCAACATAATAAGGTTCAAAGTGGATCATCTAAAAACAAAATGTATTGTTTAAATAACATATTGATGAGATCTTTTGCTGCAAAAAATGATTATTAACCTGAAACATACATTATTTCAAATTTCATTTGTAATCTTATATTCTTTAACATGGCTTAATGTCAAAATTATGACAAATTCAAATCATTTTTTTTCCTGACGACAGCTATCATCACTTGTTTGACATTACATATTTGATATCTGACTCAAAACAATATACATTTATAATAAATTTCTTACATTTCCTCAATTATTACACATAGATTAATAAGGAAAAAAATATATTCTTCATCAAAACAAGATGAATTTACTTCACGAATGAGTGGACTATCTAGCAAGTTGGGGGTTTCAAGCAAAAGTATAGTTGTAAAATGTGTGATTTCGTCTGGAGGGTAAAATTATCAAATGGACCATTTCCAAGTAAGGCCCACAAAAAAATATTCTAGTTCTCAGACAATCCTATTAAAATATGCCCATATATTGCAAGAGATGGACAGAGAACGAGCTAAAATAAAAATGTTATTTTTTGTACAATCAGGGGCCATAATCCAGGAAGTTACGGTCTGATATACACGAATATCGAATAAAACTGAGATCTTTGGGTTATAAACATACATTTCAAGTTTCATCAAAATCTGATAAAAATTGTGACTTCTTGAGTGTCCAGACGCTAAAAACGTGATTTTTCGTATAATCTGGGGCCATGAAGTTACAGTACGATACTTGCCAATTTTGAAAGGAACCGAGATCTGTGGGAGATAAACCTACATCTCAAGTTTCGTCAGAATCGGATAAAAATTGTGACCTGTAGAGTGTCCAAAAACAAATTGTGGACATCCAAACGGACAGGGGCAATGACAATATACGTCCACAAGAAAATGTAAGATTATAAAAATTGATGCAAGAGGTTGTTTTTTGGGGAATGATTTCTCATCTATTATCAAAGAAAAATGGGATATATTCCTAGTCTATTTTCAAAGTAAAAATGGGTTGATACCCAGTGTCTAAATAAAAACGGAAATGGCACACATTGATTTATTTGTCTGAAAGAGTATTAACTATTAAGAAATTACTGCTTTTGCTCAAAAACCCAACATTGCCTGAAACACTTATCTCATGGAGTCGAAATATAATTAACCGGATTAAGATTAAGATTTAACAAGATAGATTATAATATTCATGCATAATCTAAAAGATCCAATATTTACAAATTTGAGTCTATCTTATATTAGATAAGGTATAAATATTAAAATATAATTGACATCCCAAACTTGGTGCCATTATTAAGAAGTTAAAGATGGCACTCAATAAAGTTTTTGGATGTTACAAATACATTTCTGGGGTCTTCAACTTATGGATAAGAATTAGCTAAATAGATAAATCCCCTTAAAAAGATTGATGTGTTATGGGTAAACTACACATTTTTTAGACAAAAAAATGTCCACATTAAATGTGGGCATACAATAAAACTGAGAACTAACAGTTATATTTTAAGAAAACCAAATACAAAAAGTTGGGCTCCTTCAAAATATTAATAAATACTTGTACAGACAAAATTTGGGGGACCAATAAAAATATTATACATTAAATTTGGAAATCTGTTCAGAAAACACAATTAACCCAAGGAATTACTCCCTGTTAAAAAGCTAACACATGCTTGCAAAATAATCCAAATGAAGCTATAAAATCCCACACAGCAACTACAAGTAAATTAAGTTACGAATTATTTCCATTTAAGTAACATCATTTCCTTCAATAATAATCTTAAGCAAATATAAAATCATTCCACATTAGTAACGAAGCAAAGTACTGAATTTCTTTCATTAATGTGTCTTTCAATTGTACTGTATGTTTCAATATGTCTTTCTTTGGGAATGTATCTTTAAATGTGACCTGCATTAGTACTGTATGTTTCTAAGTGTCTTTCATTAGTACTATGAAACATACATGTTTATATGTGTCTTTCATTAGTACTGTATGTTTAAATGTGTCTTTCATTAGTACTGTATGTTTAAATGTGTCTTTCATTTGTACTGTATGTTTCTATGTGTCTTTCTTTAGTACTGTATGTTTACATGTGTCTTACATTAGTACTGGTTCTTCTAATGTGTCTTTCATTAGTTTCTTTTATTAGTACTGTATCTTTAAATGTGTCTTTCATTAGTACTGTATCTTTAAATGTGTCTTTCATTAGTATTTATCTATAAATGTGTCTTTCATTAGTACTGTATGCTTAAATATGTCTTTTATTAGTATTGTATTTTTAAATGTGTCTTTCATTAGTACTGTATCTAAGTGTGTATTTCATTCGTATTGTATGTTGATTTGTCTTTCATTGGTACTGTATGTTTAAATGTGTCTTTCATTAGTACTGTATGTTTGGGTGTGTCTATCATTAGTACTGTATGTTTGAATTTGCCTTTCATTAGTACTGCATTTTTAAATGTCTTTCTTTAAGAATGTATCTTTCATTAGTACTGTATGTTTACATGTGTCTTTCATTAGTACTGCATGTTTAGATGTGTCTTACATTAGTACTGTATATTTAAATGTGTCTTTCATTAGTACTGTATGTTTCTATCTGTCTTATTAGTACTGCATGTTTAAATGTGTCTTTCAATGTGTTTTTATTAGTAATGTATGTTTGATTTCGTCTTTCATTAGTACTATATCTTTCAATGTGTTTTTCATTAGTAATGTATGTTTGAATTTGTCTTTCATTAGTACTGTATCTAAGTGTGTCTTTCATTTGTGAGTACAACATGTATGTTTAAATGTGTCTTTCATTAGTACTGTGCGTCTTAATGTGTCCTTCTAAAAGCGTGCTATAACACCAACGTTTAGTATTATACAGTTGTTTAGACTGTTTCCTCACCAGCAGGTTCATTTCATTCTAGTTTAAATATAGTAGGCTGGTTAGGGAGGTAATTTCCGAACAGAAAATTAATCTGTTGGGAATTCTAACTAATATTTACCTACCTTAGCCTTAACGGTAACCCATGTGGTGACTAATGCCGTGTTTGGGAATTTCCGATTTCCCCAAAACACATAGTGTACGGATTCGCCCATTCTTGCAAATGTTTCCTCACCTCTGAAATCCCCCTACCCTACCATCAGTTAATACAAAATCATCATGTCTATTTCAACTCCTTTAAATCTGTCAAAATCCATTTACTTTATTACTCTTAAAATACTATAAAAATCTGGGGTCATAAAATTAAACGAAATAAGTAATTTATGTATTTTTATTTTTACTCCTGTCAACAAATTATTAGCCTACTATGATTTTATTGTTTTTCAGTAGTTCCCGTATTTTTAGTCTACAATTTCAATCAATCTATAAATCTGTTCTAGAATCAATCATGTACATTATTTTCTACTTTTGTTTTATGATATTTTCTACTTTTGTTTTATGTAATCCTTGTCGTTTCTATATACCATGATAATTATATGTATTAATAACTTATTGTTAATAAAAAGAGAAAGTATATTGGTGTGATGAGAAATTTAAATAGTGTAGAAGAACTATTATATACCTCATCATGTCTTGTCATATACAATGTGCTTTCGTCTATTTTTTTTTTACCACTTTACCTTTTAAGCTCCTACGGACACTACAGTAATTCTTTATTAATCAGGCAGTTTGTGGAAGTTTGAAATTAAGATAATTTGACAAATTGTTGATCCCCCCTGATCAGCACTTACACCTTGCAACAAAGTGGGGCAGGAACGAAAGCACAGCCTGCTTATAATAGGAGTATAATGTCCATGTGACTAGGTCATTTCAGGACTAACAAATGGTACAATTTTAATTACATTGATTTGTTTACTTGTTGCTTATATGGGGTTTAACATCCACCAGACACAAACTAGGTCATTTCGGGACTAACATATTATTTAATTTTATTTTAGTAATTTCGCTTGCGCATAGGGGGGCTTTAGCAGTGGGAGGAAACAAGGGGGACCCTGAGAAAACCCACGAGTTGGGTCAGCAACCTTGCTCCTTATCACATACAAGCTTGGGATAATAACCAGAGCACTTGACTCAATGGCAGTCCTTATGATCTAAAGCACTCGTCCCCGCCTCCCTCACAGTGTAGAGAGAGAGAGAGAGAGAAATGGGGTTTAATGTCCACTTGACACAAACTAGGTCATTTCGGGACTAACATATGGTTTAATTTTATTTCAATAATTCGCTTGCGCGTAGGGGTCTTTAGCAGTGGGAGGAAACCGGAGGACCCGGAGAAAACCCACGAGGTTGGACAGGCGACCCTACTCCTTGTCACGTACAACCGGGCATTCGAAACCACGCCAGTCGACTCAATGACAGACTTTATGATACACACTAACCATTCAGCCATCCACCCCCCACCCCCCTTCACAGTGTGTGATGAACTATAGTTAATAAAACAGTAGATGACAAGACATGAAGCTTTCACCCACAGCTAAAAAAATAAACAACAACAACAACAACAAGATCTGACAACAGAACATAGGTGAAGAGGAGATTGTCAACAACAACAACATAGAAACATATTGATCCAAAAATACATATCTAATAGATACAATAAAATTTGATTGAAGATTTGCATGACTCGAAGCATTAACATACCCATCCGAGACAAAATTAAATGAATTCCTCAAATAAATCAAAACTTTTGTTTCAATATTTAATTTCAGCCTTTTCACTATTGTTTAAACATATGCCGAATATTTTCCAAAACAACAAAAATTATGAGCTGCTACCATACTGGCTGATGTGAACAAATTTACAGTTAGAAAAGAAAACCCACAAGCAGATGAACTGACATTCTCAGAAATTCATTGTCTTCTGCTAACAATGACGACTCTTTCATTTCTCTTTCAGCTCAATATATTCCATGACTCATTATTCTGAGGTAGTAAAATACAACTGAGATAATGAACTGAAAATGAAATAAAATAGGGTTTAACTTCCTACTGTTCTGCTCCGAACTGGGCTAATGAAGACGGACATACGCCATACTGTGTGCTATGAGGGAAATTTTGCCCGGACAGCGGCAAGGGATCTTTTACGTACACGCCAATGTGACTAGACAGCTGTCCTTGTAAGGCCCTCCGTCCTGCATCACTGACAAGGGGAAACCACGCCGAAAATATGGATAAACTTTCTTGGCTACCTGACCTCCAGACTAGCGAGCCAGCGTCTTACCCACTTAGCCACCGTGATCCCCACAACTAAGATAGTATTTCTATCTACTAATCCAGCCGTCTGCTGTGCCAGTTTTTAGTCTGGATCAATTCCTGCTAATTTTGAATTTTTTTCTGATGCAGCAACATTACATGCTCCTCATATTTTTGGCATCTACACAAGCTCCTATTTATAATTATCTGTTCAGTGAACAAGCATGTTTTTATTTATATTTGTTTCAAATACAAAGATAGGTTATTAATAGGCAAAGAAATGCAAGGCCACAGGTTGTCATATTTTATCTTTTTGTAGGTAATAAGAACATTTACACGACACTAAAAACTGATCAAGGGCAACAATCCCTGATGTTATTATAAGAGAAAGAGAGAGAGAGAGAGAGAGAGAGAGAGAGAGAGATGAAATGGGGTTTAATGTCCACTTGACACAAACTAGGTCATTTCGGGACTAACATAAGGTTCAATTTTATTTCAATAATTTGCTTTCGTGTAGGGGTCTTTAGCAGTGGGAGGAAACCAGAGGAACCAGATAAAACTCACGAGGTCGAAATAATTATACGAAATAATAAAAATAATTTAGCAGTAAGTTAGTCTGAAGCAGGGATCTTAATCAGCTGTTTTTTGCCGGCTTTAGCCGCTTGCAGTTTAATCAAGCCAATCTCATTCGACCCAATTCTGGCCGGTTCATTTCAAAACGGATTAAGCACCCTGGTCTGAAAGTTTAGTTAGACTATCGGTACTAATCTTAACACCACCTATGAAGAGTTGAAAATTAAAATTTACACTGTCATTGTCTCGGCCATTTGTCAATATTCTTGAGGACTGGTTCGAAAACAATTAAAAATATTGTTTGTGGCCAAGATTTGAGTCTGTGTTTTTTCTGAGAATAGACAGTGAATCAGTTGTAAAGCCATATGTCAGGAATCATTCATAGATTTCTCACGATAAAATAGAAGAAGAATTTTGAAACGATGAATAAGATATTTAACTTATTCTGTAAATTATCAAGATCGGTGATACACGTTTACCAATACAAACTCCTAAATTTTATCAGCTGTGTTTTCTACAGATAAAATCTATGATTCCTAAGTGCACTGACTACAGAAATATTTCAATCAAATTTTACAACCATTGAATAGAATTTTTGAATCAATTAGTTGTTTTGTGTATCGAAGAAATATGTTACCTATACTATGATAAGACGGAGTAGAAAAAACTGAAATAAAATATTGAAACTTTAAAAAAAAAGGAATTCAAGCATCAGTAAAGCAATAAATCTCAACTATAAAAAAATGTTAAGTCATCATTTAATTTTACTCCGTAATACATCTCCTTCAGACACAGGTAACAGGTAATATTTTAAAATGAATGCAACAAATTGGTTTTTCAATAATTAAACATTAAAAATTGTTCCTTTTTGCAGCAAGTGTAAAATCTCTAATTCTATTATGTTTCCAATACCATTAAAGCTGAGAGATTTTTAAGATAACTTGCCAACTACAATACTGTGAATATTGAATCCCCTAAACATTTTAAAACACATTTATCTAATCAGGCTTTTAACTGACTGTATACAATCGTTAACATGTCCATAATCTTGTTGTTTATTTATGATTATATTTTCACTTTGTAAAGTCTCCCTGAACATGTTATATGAAAGGGCGCATTATAAATATGTTGTAATAATAATAATAATAATAATAATAAACGGAATATCAATAAAAAAATAGTTCACTTCCATTCAGGATTTACAAAGATATGAGGAACTGATGCATGGAGATTATCTACTGTTGATAATTTAGTTTCGTTTTCATAATTAAATGTTAAATTATCAATCGAAGTACATTAAAATAAGACATTTTCCAAAAATATCAAATGACAATCAGTGGCGTTAAAATGTCAATATCTTTGCAGGATAACAAAATCTTAAAGGACATATGGCTCTATTCTTTGGAACCTTAAAATAGGCAAGAATTTGTCTAAAACCACATATTAATGTGATCTATTTTGAACTTATAAATTTTTTATAATAATTTCTAATCAATTATGTTCGGTGAAATATGTGAACAGTCCAAATTGAACAGCAGTCATTTACACCTGCTTCGTACATTCCACACGTTTATTTATGATGATTTTGTCATTTGTGAATCAGTCATAACTAATTACTTCTGCATTGTCTTGTAAGATATGCATGTTTACTACAAATGGCGCCCGAAACCATAGAAATACACGACTCATGTACCATTTTTAAAATATTCATTATAAATATTGGATTTTAGGATCCCATTTTTTCAAGGCAAGATAACAACATCAACACTGATTTAAATGTACCAATACTGAATATTTCAATTTGTGTTTTTAATTTCAAATATTATAGACAATTTTGAGTTAAGAGGTTTAGCTCCTTTAAAGCAGATTTAGGTATGCCTACGCCTTCCAGAAAATATGTAGGGATTTTTAGGAAAAAGGTAGCTATATTAATACTGATTTCTGACCAAAAAATTCATACTAAACTTAGGCTGTCTGTCTACAGTTAGCTCTGCTTGAGAACAGACACTAAGCTAGTTGACCGACATTATAAATCCTAAATCAACGATTTTAGTCAAAAACACTAAGTTTATTTAGAGAATTTTGAGATGTAAATATTCTGCTTTTATTTAATAAAATTGAAAAGGTTTAGTTAGGCTTTTTTGTGTATAAGAGATGTGAACCGGAGTAGAACCGCATTACAAAACAGTGTATTAATTTTTGGATATGGCGGCTATTTAGGACAGAGATCTATTCTCGAAGTATGAAGTAGATGGACCTCTGTGTGCAGAATGAAACAAATCCTGATAAAAACACCATCACAGACTTCATTTATATAGATCAAGACTTCTACTTGAAAGTTTGGCTGCTGGTTAATTTTTGACCTGTTTGTTTTAACAAGACAAATTTCTCTTTCCTTGATAGAGAGATAGTGATGACCTGGGTTAAAGGTACAAACACTAGATAATCTCTTGGCTTGGAATTAATCGGATTTAAAATAGGCCCATCAATAATTATTTGTAACAAAATGGCGTCGGGGTTATTACATTGTGAGCCGCATAGTTCGATGAAATTCCAATTCAACATATCTTTGTAAATACTGAATGGAATTGAACCATTTTTGGACTTAAATTCCTTTTAGAGATTCATCTTTCACAATATTGTAGTTTGCAAGGGATTATTATTCTGCTAAAACGCAATGATACTTTTAAATCATATGATGTATTGACCCTGAATCAATCTGTATTGGCAAACAATTAACTTCAATTGTTTACAAAAACTTGTAGAAAGAACATGCAGGTCTGGAGAAATAAGGCACCTTAGCACACATTCAGGCTTTGTCAAGCTCAATCCCTCTGCTACCTGTTATTTTGTATTTTTTGCATGTTTTTATTGATTCTATTAATTTATCAGGTATGGCTAAAACCTTTTTTCCAGGCCTTAGGACCTGGGTTAAATTACATGAAACTAAATATCAGGCCACATCAATTGGATTTTCTGTTCTTCAGGAACATGCGTTAAAATTTTGCTTCTTAACCATACATTATGCAAGAGACTGAAATGTTATCTAAATTATTAATTAGACATTAATTAACTTATCCAGACCATAATCAACTCTCAATGTCATCGCTAGCCTACGATGTTTATTGGATTAGGTTTGGATTTGCTGTTCGACTTTCATTCATGATTTAATCATAAAAAGGATAATTGAGACTATGTTTTTTATCTTACCGACTTAAGTAATGATGATCGCGAATAGGCCGAAAATTCAAGCGGATCAATTTGACTGAAATTTTCAGCAAATTTCCTTTACATTATCTAGTTTTTAACTATTATAGTGAGAACTGCCTGCTCTTTATCTTATCTCCCATAATGTATCTTTAACTGTTCGGGATCAAGACTAATTTAAACATCAAAAGTAGTTGTTTGTGCTGTTCAAAAGCTTTTAGTTCCAAATTTTTAAATTAAACATCTTTCATGTCTCAAATGGCTATTTATTTATTAAAACAATGAAGAACTGAAAATTATATTGGTTTGGCCCTACATATATTTACAAACAATTAACCTATACTGTCTATTACAACTTTCTAATACTTTATGTATATTATAAATGATACAGTTCCAGACTTACCTATGAATGTATCAGAAGTAGCTGAATGTATAGATCCTTTATTTAAAATCTCCATTATTTTAATGACAAAATCTTTTGGCATGTTTGATGCGTAGGGTAGGATATCATCCCTTATCACTGTCACAACCTAAAAAACAGAAACAATTAAATAATTCCACACAAGAGCTTAGATGATACGGCCTACTCTTATTTCAGTGGATCTTTAGCTTGATGTCAATGGTCTATATAAACATTCAATTTTTTGTCCTATCTGAATGACTAGACATTTTTTGTTTTGCCAGGGATCACTGACTATGTGAAACTAGTTCGGAATACCTGAGGAATTTTCTTAGAAACAATTGGTTCGAATCCAGGACATCCTTAGGTCATCCTTAGGTCATCCTTACATACCCACCACCCACTGTGGCTCCCTGCCCAAAACAAATATTGGACAAGTTGACTTTTAAAAAAAGTACGATGAACTATAACAATAAATACTTTTGAGATTTACAGAAATGAAATGGGGTTCAACATCCTACTGTTCTGCTCCGAACTGAGTTAATGAAGACAGGTGAGCTTTACAGACATGAGACAACATCTGCTTTTCGCCTGAAAAATTAAAGTGGTCAAATACAGAAGAATTATTACCTTACAATCCACAGCTTCATCTCTTTGAAATTCTTCAACAGATAAAGTTGGTGGTGATGGACTAAAAATAAAAACATTTTATTTTATTCACATAAAGATAGGTTGCCAGGCATCGAAACACCCACAGCAGCTAAGTTGTCTGAGCAGACAATCATGGTTGGTGCACTGTGAATTGTTAGACGGGATGTAAAGCAAAATCTTTAAACTTTATAATATCATTAGAGTGTTGACAAGATTCTGTGATATAATCAAGGGGAATAACTCTATATAAGTAATTATCAGAAATTTTTGAAATCGTTATTCATCGCAATAAACGAAACAAAGAATATAAATTTAACGTAAATCTTCTGATGACGTGGACATGTGCCATAACTCTTAGAAATAATTAATGGAAACTTTTCGGTGAATAATCCAGATAAATTTCAAGTTGATATGGATAATAACTTTTATAGCTGGTATTGAAAAGATTGTACAAACTGAAGTAATTAATATATATATATATATATATATAAAAATCTGAAAAAAGATTGGATGGTATATTTTTTAAAACAACTACATTTTATTGATGGGTATAAAAACTGAAAGTGCTGAATCATTTAGAATTGAAGTGTTTTGCACTATTTTACTTAAGCTTATTTTTCACAGGAATTCTAAGTAAATAATTTGAAATATATTAGACAAAATATTTAACAAATATTTAAATTAAAAAAATAATCAACTCACTGTTTTGTGAAAAGGAAATCTTCGAAAGCCAATGCTAACTCACACCACATTCCTTCAAATTCATTTACTGTAAACAAAATTAATATATATATATATTATCAAATTGTAAACCAACCAAATTCAAGCCAAGAAATAGGAGCTCCAGAATTATCAAAAGCGGAAAAGAGAGAGAGAGTTTAACCTCCAATGAACACAAACTAGGTCATTTCGGGACTAACATATGGTACAATTACGGTCTTTCAAATCACTTGTGAGAAGAAACCGGAGGACCCGGAGAAAACCCATGAGGTTGGGAAGGAGATCTCACACACAAGAGTAGCAATATTTTAATTTCATAAGCCTTTGTTACTTCTTAGTAGAAGGTACTCTGACCACAGTGACCACTAGCAAAAGATATTTGACAATTTGTTAAAATACAGAAGTTCATCGAAATGCGAAAATAAAATTTCAGGAAGTGGATTAAACACTTCAAGTAATTAAAAGTCACTATTTAATTAAACTATTTAATAAAAATAAGTGAGAGAATATGTGCCCTTTTCGAGTTTGTATTTCCTCACCACCCGTGTTTTCAAAAACTCATGGATTGGGCTTTGTGGTAAGGGATAATAATACTTTAATATGTACCATGTTTCCTGGCTACAGGTAGACCAATCTCCAGCACTGTAAATAAAGCATTGATGACTAGTTTCCATGTTGATGGTGACGGACAACTGTATTTTAATCCTAGTGGAATACGGAACGTCTGAAAAATAAAAGAAAGTCATTTTAATTTGTCTGTGAAACAGGTTTATTTAATGTACAGTTTGTTTGTTCTTTTTTAAGGGGGAGGGGGGAATCAAAGCCCAGCTTAAATAGAGCAGGGCCCTGGGCCTGACTAGAATCGCGGGGCCCCTTGTGCGACAAAAAGATTATTTCATATCCTTTTGCATGGCACACATGCGTAACACACAATTAAACCGTCTGTAATACAAGAATAACTACACAATATCTGATCACAGACTCACCCAGTCTCTGCCCATCACACCGCTAGAAGCCTAGATCGATCACCGAGTGGAACTTCACAGAGAAGGTTGAGGGATAGCTCAATCTCTGCAATTGCAAGGCTAGATCAATTACCGCGAAACTTTCACCTGGAATTTGAATTCTTTCTCTTATTGCCATGAACCGCGGGATCCCCTAAACTGTGGGGCCCTGGGCCCCTCACGCCCATGCCTAAGCTAGGTTTCGGGGGAAATTATATTATAGAGTAAAAAACACAAACAATATTACTACTCTGATGTTTGCTACCACACAGGCAAAATTCATCAAAAAGGTGGTACTGATGATTTTCCAAACTGGTATGAGACGATTGATTGCCCACATCAGTACATGCATGACTATATGACTAGGAGAAGTGGGAGAGAAGAAAGCAAGTATCACTGTCCTAAGAGACCCAGGTCCTGACTCATAAATAACACTTAAGTCTTAGACAGAGCAAACTGTTTACTAACAAAAAATCCATTGAACTTGTGAAAACAACTTTAAATGAACATAGCATATTTCAGACACAAAACCTTAACCCTGACCATAGACTTTGTGAAACTGACCGAAGGAGAACCAAAATCACAGTTCATCCACTCAATCTAATTCATAATACCCAGAAAACACTTTTATTTAAGTAAAAAAACTGTTTTAATTACATTCAATCCACATCAGTTATGTGTGTTCATCCACCCAATTAAATGCATAATGCCCAGAAAATACTAAAACTATTTTTACATTAAATCCTTCTTAGTTATGTGTGTTCATCCACTCAATGTAATGCATAATGCCCAGAAAACACTTTTATTTAAGTAAAAATACTTTTATTTAAGTAAATTACATTAAATCCTCATCAGTTATGTGTGTTTGATAACTGAATGGCTGTATTAAATCACCTATAAAATTATCATTATAATAATTAGGCTTGAGATGAATCTGAAATTAATTAAGGTGACCTCTATCTTCAGGAATGTGCTACATATTAACAAGTATAAGGTGAACCTGGAGAAAATTAGGGACCACCCTAGGGGACAATATCTCCCTGGGGAGTCAGTGAGATATAAGTAAAGAGATGAATTATTGATGTTTTTGTTCAGTACAGACCCCCATCAGACAAGATATGTAAAATAATAGCAAACTCATTTTAGCGAACCATTCACTTAACTAAAACCCTAGATATCAATCACCATACATGTACAGGCCTTCAGAAATTCAAAGAAAAATGGGGTTTAGCGTCTTACTTTTCTGTACCATCTGTGCTAATGAAAACGAGCATACACTATTCGGTGTGCCTGAAGGAAATGAAATGAAATGGGGTTTAACGTCCTACTGTTCTGCTCCAACTGGGCTAATGAACATGGGCATACACCAGACAGTGTGCTATGAGGGAAACTTTGCCCGGGCAGCGCCACTATGGCCTACTTTTATATTGAATTCCAACTACCAGAGAATATTTTACGTGCATGCCAGTGTATACACAGGTCCTCAGTTTTTTGTCCCATCCGAATGACTAGACAACTGTCCTTGTCAGGCCCTCCATCCTGCATCACTGACAAGGGGAAAAAACACCTGAAAATCCTGATGAACTTTTTTTCGGCCAATGCAGGGATCAAACACCTGACCTCCAGGCTAGCAAGCCAGCGTCTTGGTCTTGCGCATTTAGCCACCGTGGCCACCCATGCCTGAAGGAACATTTTGCCCATAATTCAGGACTGTGGCCTACTCTTATTTCGAATTCCAAGGGCAAGAGGTTTTTAACATGTACACAGGACCTCTGTTTTTCGTGCCAACTGAAGAACTAGATGCTGTTCCTTTCCAGCACCATTGACAAGGGGAAACTAGGACATAAAATCCTGAGGAACTCTCTCTGCCAACACTGGGATTGAACCTGGACCCTCCACGTTACAGAGGAAGCGACCTACCCACTGAGTCACTAGACCAGAAATTAAATAAAAGTGTTTTAAAGTCTTAATTGTTAACATTTGGAAATAATTTTGTATCAAAGTGGCGCTTTACAAGAGAATTTTGCATTGGGAGAAGATTTTCAGTCAGTCTACAGCATGCTACTTTACATTTCTAGTTTTGTATCATTGTAGCTTCTTTACAAGAGAATTTTGCAATGGCAGCAGATTTTCAGTCAGTCTACAGCACGCTGCTTTTCATTTCTAAAAGCATTCAGGAATATTTAACAGGCCCACACCTATGAACTATGGCAAATGAAATGAAATGGGGTTTAACGTCCTACTGTTCTGCTCTGACTGGGCTGAGGACAGATGAACTATGACATTGGCCATATTGTTGTGCATGTACAAATCTAACCCATCTTCCATTCTATCAGGAACAGATTTAAACAAAGCAAATTCTGACACTGACATTATAATATTTGTGTAATCATAATTATTCTTCCAACTACTCAAGTGCCATTTTGTATTATTCTAACAAAATAAACATCCCTCAATACACTTTTATAACTTTATAACTATCAACTGAGATGAGCTGAACTTTTTAATAGATAATGAGGGGCATTTAAGTTTTATGGCCCCTTAATTTAAAAACACTCCCTTGATTAAAGATAAACAACATGCTGCTTATCTTTTCTAACCTTGGTCACATGGTCACAATTCTATAATAGGGGGTAATTCAGGGATTCTACTTGGACCCTTCATCATTGTTTATAAGTGTTAACAGATTCCACTATTATTTCAGTTTAGCCATCCTTGTCAGAAAATACTTGAATGCAAATGGTTTTTTGTATATTAAGCTTTGATATCCAATGTATTTTTATAAATATATTACGCTTTGATATCCAATATATTTTTATATATTACGCTTTGATATCCAATATATTTTTATATATTAGGCTTTGATATCCAATGTATTTTTATATATTACGCTTTGATATCCAATGCATTTTTTTCAAAATGATCAGATGTATATTTGAGCTAAAATCGTGAAATATATACATAGAACACAATCGGAATACAATGACTGTTATTACAGATTTCTTCATGAATAAAGACTAGAAAATCCTAATAAACAGTAATTGTATTCCATAGAAATTTGACCAGTGTATTTCCAGTTAAATTAGTAAATGCCACTGAATCAATTTATCATTAAATTTAATTATAAAGATTTAAAACATCTCGCACATATTTCTTTCTCTTTCTATAAACCTGTATGGTGCAAACGAAGCATCCAGGCTTCACCTTACATAGAAAAAACATTTCATTTTGAATTTTGGTTTCTTAATTTCAAATTTTCACAATAGTTAATCTTGGGCTAGTAATCATTTGGTTTCTGATCAACCTGTTGGATAAAACAATCCTAAGACACAAAAACTTTTAATTAAAACTTATTAACACTTTTAAACTTTCGATTTATAATCTACTTTTCTTTAATCTGGCTCTCTTGGCTGATCTATTGTTTTTTCCGTTGATTATAAATAACCGCCATTGTTCTAAAATCAACCATTGAAGACCTTCGCCATATAAAGCTGCCATATTATAAATTAAGATTACCAAAAGCTGATTGGGGCTGTTTAAAAGGGGTTTTATGTTCCGATTGAGTGATCACACTGAAACAATAGAGAGTTAATAGGTCAATCAAGCAGTAATGACAACAATGTATAAAAATTGACAATGGCCCCTAAAAAGCCTTTGTCTTGGTTGAGTTGGGTATTGTTCTCAGGTTATTAAGTTTTATGGCCTTAGGGATAGACAGGAAGACATTTTCAAACAAACCTATATCACATCTACTATGGTTACTGTCCACCATTTTTTTTAATTCATTCAATTCTAAAAACATCCAGATATTGCAAGAAAATATGAAAACCATTCAGTTTACTCAATTAAGTAACCATTTTTTTTATGTATGAAAGTTTTCACAAGACAGTGTTTGACGGAATCAAAATTTTAAGAGGTCATCTCTTAATTTCTCAAACACATATCAAGCATTTTTTAGAAATGCTCAATTTGAAAGCATCCATATATTTCAAGAAAATATGAAAAACATTCAATTTATTCAATTAAGTAGCCATTCTTTATGTATGAATGTATTCAGAGACCATATTTGAAAGAATCAAAATTTTAACTGGTCGTATCTGAATTTTCCGTCCATATATTAAGCATAGACGATACAGGGTTACATTCTTAGAATCAATATCAAAATCTCCATTGATCTTTAATAACGTTTAAGATCTCGGCTCTTGTCAAACATTGACCTTAAAAATGCATGATTCCGAAATTTGACCAAATCAAAATTTTAAGAGGCTAGGTCTTAATATTCCATCCATGTTTGAAGCATATAAGGTTCAGAATTACATTCTCAAAACAATTTAATATCTCCATTGATTTCTAATAAGATCTCTGTTATTTTATCGAAAGTTGACCTTAAAGGTATAATATCCCTAAATTTGACCAAAGTTTGGTATTACTCGATATAAGTCAGATATTCAAGATTTTAATCTTAAAATATAGCATGTAGGTAAAGATATATAAACCAGCGGAGATCAACATGTATAATCAGCCCCAATCCAAAAGTCATTGACACTGTATTAACTAACATGGTAGGTTGTGATTGGGTAATATTACATAACCTTATTGGTCAGTCTTGGTCACATGACCCTAAGGGTGAAGAGGTCATGCATGAAAGGGAGCAAATTAATTGGTCAGTTTTGGTGTGGCAAGTTTGTGTAATATTGGGGAGTTTTTAGTAACTATTGGT